TTCTCTCCATGTTTCTGCATGTTGATTGCACCACGTAACAAATTTACAGTTTCCACAAAAATATTAAGCAGCACAACTGTTTTCAGTATTGATAATAATAAGAAATGCTTCTTGAGCAGCAAATCAGCATATTAGAAAGATTTCTAAAGAATCATGTGATATATTTTAAAATAGAAAAGAGTTGTTTAAACTGTAATAATATTTCACTTATATATATATTTGCTTGTATGATCCACACAGTAATAATCAGTTGAAATGACAACTGGACTGATGCAGCATCACTTTCACATCTCAGTAAATGGATTTATACATGGGGCTGATCCTAGACTGGGCTTTCATAAACTGGGATTTTTAAGGAGCACAGTCTGTGACTCACAGGGATAAAGCTGTCTTCCTGCCGTCCCTCTCTCCTCAGCTGAACCCTCTCCATGGGTCTCAGATACGGACTGGCTCAGTCAAACCACTCATCATAGCAATGGCTCCACTGGCGATAGTGGATTAAGACCTTCTCATTCTCATAGTCAATCTTCTCAATGTTGGCAGTATACCTGGCAGTGAAATCACACACAGACAGCTTGCTATAAAAACAGAGTGTGGGAAACTTAATTTCCCACACGCCCACCTCAAACTTAATTCCTCGCCTGTTAGGAGGCATTTTGCTCATGATGCTAGTAACTACCTAATATGAAAAAATCACATTTTAGTAAGTTCCCAGTGATCATTACATTACATTAGATCGGTCTCATTACTGTTTTTACAAGTAGACCTTTTGAGTGCTAACATGAGAGAAAAAAGAAAGAGCAAATTGACTCTCAAAAATATAGTAAAATTGCAACATTTTTTAAAATAATATTTTACCTTATACATTTATTAATTTGTTTTTAAATCATAATGGTAATAACTAACTACTAATAACAGTAAGTGACACTGAACTGTATCACAGCAACAGTTTTGGAAGGAAAACATTACTTTTAACTATTTATTGTCGCAGCTTGCTAAAATTACACATCAAGGTCACTGGTTACTGAGACTATTGCAGTGTTCTGGAACAAATTTGGAAACTAATTTACCAAGCAAGTATATGACCAATAATAAAAAATGTTCTGTTGGCCTTCCAAGATGTAGATTTTATTTCTTCATCGAACTTTTTCACAGGAGAAAGCAATATTATGGAAAGAGGACACATATTTCAGTTGGAAGCAATGGTTTGAAGATAAAAACATCTTAATAATGGAGTTGTTTCTGACAAACACACAGACATTTAACATGGATTGGAGTCGTGTGGATTATTGTGATGCTTTAATCAGCTGTTTGGACTCTCATTTTGACTGCACCCATTCACTGCAGAGGATCCATTGGTGAGCAAGTAATGCATTTCTCCAAATCTGTTCTAATGAGGAAACAAACTCGTCTACATTTTGGATGACCTGAGGGAAAGTACATGTCCCGCAAATTTTAAAACTTTTCCTTTAATGGTCAACATTTTACTATATTATTCAGACAGTAGACCCCATTCCGTTACTGATGAGGGTTAATTAAGTATCTTTTAAGCTTTGTAGCTTTGTCTTGAAAAAAATCATGTCAGATTCAGCTTGAGATTCACAGTAAACCCCAAAAATTTTATTTTACATGCTACAAGTCTACATTACCACTATTATTATTAAAATAGTTTAAATTATTCATTATTGAATAATTAAATAATAATAATTAAATTAATAATTTTGATGATTCAGCTGAAAAACTATAAAGCAGTTATTACAACAAAAATCAAGATTTATTTTGACATAACATTTAAAATAATTTAAAATCATGATTTCTGTTTTGTTTTTCCCCTACCAAAGCAACAGCAAAATCTTTCCCATAAAAACCACGCAGATCTACAGCATTTCACTATACAGTGTAGGTGCGAATCCAGGTCATGGCATCATGCCACTAAACACTGCAAACAACAGACGTAACTTAATTATCAATAGCCTACTTAGCTAAGCCTCTTATTTCTACGTAACTTTAATGTTTACGTTCAAATTCAACATTCCTTTTGTATAAATAAAACGTTAAAAAAATGTTAGGAATGGATCTATCTAAATAATTTACAATTTAAATTATTGTAACTAAATCAATTATATAAATAATAATATTATACACTACAAAACACTATAAACATGTTTAATTGACTTATTTACTCTTGCATGAGTAGTCATATAAATGAGAGTAATTAACTGTGATTTTATCAGGGGCCCCCAAATGCCTGACAATGACAATGGAAACAATAGAGATGCCAGATATTCCAACATTACACTGCTGTTTATTATTCCCAGATCAAAGATTTCTGCCTGTCTATAGCCAAAAGCAGACAGAGAACATCATTTAAGTCTATCTGAAATCCTACAGGATCAATCTTCATCTTAGTGAAAACACAAGCAGACATCAACTTCCTGACTGATCCACACCCTCCAAGAGAATAATGACATGGATAGTATTGGGCAGTACATCGCCACTCCCACAAATGCAAGCTGTAAATCACAACATGCTTCTTCTACCAGTGCACACGTTACGACATTTATTTGATTTCATTAGGCTACCTAAAATCTGTAATTACACATTACATTTTCTAAAACAGCATCTTTAAACATTCCGTACTCGAACAAAGTCTTGCCATTGCGAGTATTATAAACTGCTATAAACATCAGTTACCTGCTGTGATATCCGTCTCTTTAACTATAAAGGCGCGTCATGCATCTATTACAGTCTCTTTTATTGTAACCACGTTGGGCGCGAGATGCACGCACTTACTATTTTCCAATGTGTTCCACACAGACTACCGGTATGAACAATACCGCAACCGCGCATGCGTCAGCGACTAGAGTCTATATAAAGACGTCTAGCAGCTTCATTGTGAGGTACAGGCGTTGCTTTAATACAATACCTTTCAAAAGTAACAGGCCATTGAGTCATTTTTTTATTTTTTCTTTTATTCAGCAAAGATCAAATTAAATTGATACAAATTGTAAATAAAGACATTTTTGAAGGGATACTCCACCCCAAAATGAAAATTTTGTCATTAATCACTTATGTCGTCCCAAACCGGTAAAAGTTTCGTTCGTCTTCAGAACACAATTTAAAGGGGTCATATGATGCGATTTAAATTTTTCCTTTCTCTTTGGAGTGTTACAAGCTCTTGGTGCATAAAGAAGATCTGTAAAGTTGCAAAGACTAAAATCTCAAATCCAAAGAGATATTCTTTATAAAAGTTAAGAGTCAACCACGCCTACCTAAAACGGCTCGTTCTAACACGCCCCCACATGTCTACGTCACGATGTGGGAAGATTTGCATAACGCCGCCCAAATGTTCACGCAAAGAAGGCGTAACTTTTATTCTTGCTGTAGTATTGTTGTTGCCACCGCCATGTCGTGAAGACGCTGTGTGTTTAGTTGTGAAAGCAAAACTACTTTGTTTGGCCTTCCAAAAGAGGACGATATCCACTTCGTCATGCCTAGAGCTGATCCGTGCTGGTCGCTGAGGAAATACATCAACTTCACGCTGTGAATCGCTGGATCGGCTTTCACCGTGGACAAAGTGGAGTCCAGCCTGAGGTCGTCACATGTGGTTGACACTAGCCCGTTCTCAAGCCCGCCGGCCACCGCTCACTCTAACCTGCCGGCCGTTCCTCACTCTAGCCCGCCGTGTGTGACGCTGTGTGCTTCGTTGCGAAAGCGAAACTATTTTGTTTGGTCTTCCAAAAGAGGACACAACTAGAAATCAGTGGTTAAGTTGTATTTACAA